TTCAATTCAGACCCCAACATGGCAGTCCTGGGAGCAGTTCTGTATCCAGCAGCAAGACATAGGTTCGGAACGAAACCCCTAAACCCTAAACCCCTAAACCCCTAAACCCCGAAAGCCCTAAACCCCTAAACCCCTAAATCCCTAAACCCCTAAACCCCTAAAGCTTATCTTCTCTTTCTGGCTTTCGTCGTATCTGCGGCCCGACCCCGATGGCTTCTCCTCAGGCGCTCGGCGACCAGACCTTGGACTGGATCCTTCGTGCAGCCTTGGAGGCTTGGTGAGCCTTTTCGGCAGTGGTAAATGGGTGGTTGTCAAAATTAGGGTCCGTTTTTGGGTCCGTAATATAATACGGCACCTATTATTTAGGGTACCCCAAAAGGGGCCATAATTTTGACAACTACCCAAATAGACATGACAGCTATCTGATAGTATGATAGTACACACACACACACATCTATGTCGTAGAGTATCTTAGATCGCCGTCAGCAGGAACCGAGAAACCGTCAGGCAACGACCAAGATCTCCGACCATGCCCGTGCTGTTAGCATCAATGTAGATATCTTTGTTTTCTGCCGCCCTCAGAAGCAGTGGGAATGAGTTTCAGACTGAGGGTACGACCAAGAAATGGCATTGCCCTTTTTTCTAAACCCTAAACCCTAAACCCCAAACCCTAAACCCTAAACCCTAAACCTTAAACCCTAAACCCTAAACTCTAAACCCTCGTTCCCTGCAGCTCTCCCGGCCTTTGGCTGTTTGGGGGGTTTTCGGCAGGCTCTGCTCTGGCGCAGTGGAACCGCTGAGCTTTCCTTCCCATCAGTCGAAAGTGCTTCCCCCTCTCTCGCTGTGCTGGCTCTTGTCAGTGGTGTGCCTATCGTCCCGTCTCTTTTTGGCTCTTCGTGTCGATGCTTCGAGTGCCAGTTTTCCTTGTTTCAGCGGCGTCGTGCTACTCCGGTCCTGGAAGGCATGCGCAGCCGCTCGCCTGCCCAAGGAGGCGTGGCCACGCAGAGCACTGCGCGATTGACAGGATCTGCCGGGGATAGAATCTGGTGTCCCCCACCCTACCGATTTGTCGCCTGGCGGAGTCAGCACAGCACTGCGTAACTCTGGAAGGTGGTGCCGCACCATTTCCAGCGGCACGAGAAGCTGCCACTTGCAGCCGGCGGAAAAGTGGACCGGCAGGCGGACAACCCACAAATCCCAAACCCACAAATCCCAAACACCTAAACCCTAAACCCTAAACCCTAAAGGGATATGCAAAGCATGAACTGCACATCCTAACCCTAAACCCTAAACCC